CTCCATAGCTGCTGCCAGGCCCCTAAACTGCCATGGGCCCCTATAACCGCCTCCTCATGCTGCTGCCAAGTCCAGAGTCTGTCATGGGTCCCTGTACGGCCTCCCATTGCTGCTGTCTCCATCGCCACACTCTGCCATGTGCCACTTTCAGGTCTCTTCACACTGCTGGTGTGTTGAATTTTTTGACATAGGGTGCTGGCAGATTACGGGCCTCCCATAGCTGCTGCCAGGCCCCTAATCTGCCATGGGCCCCTATATATGCCATGTGCCACTTTCAGGTCTCCTCACACTGCTGGTGTGTTGAATTTTTTTTGACATAGGGTGCTGGCAGATTACGGGCCTCCTATAGCTGCTGCCAGGCCCCTAATCTGCCATGGGCCCCTATATACCGCCTCCTCCTCATGCTGCTGCCAAGTCCAGAGTCTGTCATGGGTCCCTGTACGGCCTCCCATTGCTGCTGTCTCCATCGCCACACTCTGCCATGTGCCACTTTCAGGTCTCCTCACACACTGCTGGTGTGTTGAATTTTTTGACATAGGGTGCTGGCAGATTACGGGCCTCCCATAGCTGCTGCCAGGCCCCTAATCTGCCGTAGGCCCCTATATACCGCCTCCTCATGCTGCTGCCAGGTCCAGAGTCTCTCATGGGTCCCTGTACGGCCTCCCATTGCTGCTGTCTCCATCGCCACACTCTGCCATGTGCCACTTTCAGGTCTCCTCACACTGCTGGTGTGTTCCATTTTTTGTCATAGGGTGCTGGCAGATTATGGGCCTCCCATAACTGCTGCCAGGCCCCTAATCTGCCATGGGCCCCTATACCGACTCCTCATGCTGTGACGTTGCAACAAGGTGGAATTCAACCCTACATATGTTAGACCGCCTTTACGAACAGCAAAAGGCCATCACAGATTTCCTGATGTTAAAAGCAGATAAAGGTACTCCCTGTGTAACTTAGATGTCAGCCATTGGCAGCTCATGCGTGACACCTGCGCTTGCTCAGGCCCTTTGAGGAGGCCACGCTATTCGTGAGTCGGCAGGACTATGGGATGAACGACGTCATTCCTCTGTTGCACGTCCTGGAACAAATGCTGTTAACAATGGCTGGTCAGGGTGCGGTAGACGTGGCGCACAGATCTCAACGCCACATGGCCCCTGTGGGGGCAGGACTGGAAGAAGAGGAGGAGGTAGAGGAGGACATTGGTGCTCAGGAATTATTGAGTGAAATGGGTGGTTTTTCCACTCAGCGGACAGGAGTGGAGGAGCAGGAGCATCTGGTAGAGGAGGAGGAAGAGGAGACAGAGGACCTAGACGCACCGTGGCAGTATGCTGTGGAGATGGAGGCAGGGAGTCCCTCGCATTCCTTGGCACAAATGGCCCATAGCATGCTCGGTTGCTTGCGTAGCGACAGCCGAATAATAACCATCAGACAGAGGGATGACTTTTGGCTGTCCACCTTGTTGGACCCTCGCTACCGTTCAAAAATGGTGGCCTTTTTCACACCTGCTGAGAGGGAGGCCAAAATAACGTACTATAAAAAACACCTATGTAGTCAGCTGGTCTCTGCCTGTCTGCGCCAACGTCCATCCTCAGACACTGTGGGCCCTGTGCGCTCGTGTTCCGCTGCCATGGCAGCAGGGGAGGGGTGGGGTGGTAGGAGCAGTGGCAGCTCCACCAGCAGCGGCTGCCTCAGTCTGCAGTCGATGATGAGTAGCTTTCTTCACCAGCGCAGTGAGGAAACTACTAACCAGCCGCAGCAGCAGCAGCAGCATCAGGTGGACCTGGAGCAGGACCTCAAACAACAGGCTTAGGCCTACTTGGACAGCACCCTGCCAACCGAGGTAGACAATCCCCTTGACTACTGGGCAACGAAACTTGACCTTTGGCCCCAACTAGCTGAATTTGCCCTTGAAAGGCTGTCATGCCCGGCCAGTAGCGTGGCATCGGAGCGCGTGTTTAGTGCGGCAGGAGGTATTGCAACTCCGCGGAGGACACGACTGTCCACCCAAAGTGTGGAGAGACTCACGTTTGTGAAAATGAATCAGGCGTGGATTAGTCTGGATTTCAAACCACCAGTTCCTGACACAACTGACTAAATCCGCCATGAATCATGCCCCAAACATGTGCCACTTTCAGGTCTCCTCACACTGCTGGTGTGTTCCATTTTTTTGTCATAGGGTGCTGGCAGATTACGGGCCTCCCATAGCTGCTGCCAGGCCCCTAATCTGCCATGGGCCCCTATACCGCCTCCTCATGCTGCTGCCAAGTCCAGAGTCTCTCATGGGTCCCTGTACGGCCTCCCATTGCTGCTGCCTCCATCGCCACACTCTGCCATGTGCCACTTTCAGGTCTCCTCACACTGCTGGTGTGTTCCATTTTTTGTCATAGGGTGCTGGCAGATTACGGGCCTCCCATAGCTGCTGCCAGGCCCCTAATCTGCCATGGGCCCCTATACCGCCTCCTCATGCTGCTGCCCAGGTCCAGAGTCTCTCATGGGTCCCTGTACGGCCTCCCATTGCTGCTGTCTCCATCGCCACACTCTGCCATGTGCCACTTTCAGGTCTCCTCACACTGCTGGTGGGGTTCCATTTTTTGTCATAGGGTGCTGGCAGATTACGGGCCTCCCATAGCTGCTGCCAGGCCCGTAATCTGCCATGGGCCCCCGTACCGACTCCTCATGCTGCTGCCAGGCCCGTAATCTGTCATGGGCCACTGTTGTCGCTTGTTGGCATATTCCGCTCGTTCAGATGCTCCTTCTCCTGCTACTCCTCTTCACGGATTCCGTCAGCAGTCTTTCTTGGAATCCGTTTCCAAGAGACAACAGTTTGCGAGCACGCACCCGACGGTGCAGAAGCTGAACGTCCTCCTGTCCAAGTTGCTGCTGCCAGGCTCGTAATCTGTCATGCGCGCCCCTGTACCCGCCTCCTCATGCTGCTGCCAGGTCCAGAGTGTGTCATGGGCCCCCGTACCGACTCCTCATGCTGCTGCCAGGCCCGTAATCTGTCATGGGCCCCTGTACCGCCTCCCCATGCTGCTGCCAGGTCCAGAGTGTGTCATGGGTCCCTGTACGGCCTCCCATTGCTGCTGCCAGGCCCGTAATCTGCCATGGGCCCCTGTACCGACTCCTCATGCTGCTGCCAGGCCCGTAATCTGTCATGGGCCCCTGTACCTACCCCCGCCTCCTCATGCTGCTGCCAGGTCCAGAGTGTGTCATGGGTCCCTGTACGGCCTCCCATTGCTGCTGTCTCTATCGCCACACTCTGCCATGTGCCACTTTCAGGTCTCCTCACACTGCTGGTGGTTTCCATTTTTGTCATAGGGTGCTGTATGGCCTCCCATTGCTGCTGCCTCCCTCCACCGCCACACACTGTGGCTCCACACTCTGGTTTTGGCCCCGTGACTGCCCAAATGAGTGAAGTGTGCGGTGATTCTAAGATCGACGGCACTCATCTGCATGTCATACTGACTGACAGTATTATTTCTCTTCCCCAGCAGACTCCAAGGGCATTTAAATTAAAGGTACAGTGTTCTGCACTAATATTAAGTCTCTCTGAAGCCTAGAAACACCCTTTTTTTAAGTTAAATTCACAGCGAATTTATTCGACTCGAATCGAATATTGTCCACGAATTCGCCGAATCAGTCGAATCGAATTTTTCATTTCTTCAACAAATACAATGGATGTATATCGTTATGTTTATAAAGTATTCACAATTAACAAAACAATAAAAAAAAAATATTACAAGAAATTAAAAATAAAAAAAATCATTTTTATTAAAACAAAACATTTAATATCCTCAAATCCATCCAAAAGAAGGAAAAAACAATAGTCATTTTAATTCTTTCCGTCCACTCTCTCCCAAAGACTAAATATTAAAAAAAGTCATTTGAAGAATTCTAGACATACTGTACATAGAATGGTAAATCATCTTAACCTGCAAATGTGCCTTTTTTTAATTGCCACTGAAAGTAATATATAGTAACCACTAAAATTACCCATGTTTCAAGAAAACATGCACTGAACCCAGTTAGTAAATGCAAACTTAAATATATTGTCACCCGATATGGTTGGAGAATAGGCAAACATGAAAAATGGATTACAAAGGTAATGACCCAATTGAGGATAGAGAGTAATTAGTAGTTAAGACTAGCATAAGAAGACACTAAGATCCAATCAGTATAAACAGTAGCAAGGAGGTCACCTAAAGTGCAGTAGTGATAGTAGTAAAGCTTGGTATAAACCGAATACAAGAGACTATAACTGATGAAGTGCATTATTTGTGACTATAGCTATGCGGGTATCTTTTAAAATAAGGTAGAAAGTGGTAGCAGGGAACCAAGGGAACTTGCGGGATGGTTTTACTGCAAAAAACAGTCCATTGTGTTCTTTGTTGGGGACCTTTAAAAAGCATTGGGTGCACTTAACAACATTTAACCATTTCCCTCTGGTGCTGTTTATTACGGCAGGACGGGGGGCAGTCCGGGGGCGGGTTTGCTGTTCAAAACGACACCCGCATTTTCAAGCTATGCGCGCTCCGGGGGAGCCCCGCAGCACGCGATCGGTGCCCGCTGTGCCCTCTGGAACCCGTGGAACACCGATGTTTTCGGGGCCTCTTTTCGGGTCCTATCATTATTTTTCGATTTTGGGCCAATAGGATCACATGAGGGTATAAGCAAGATGAGTCACTTTCTGACATCATTGCTTAACTAACGTGGTGAAATCGGTGAATGATCACAGAGGTCACATGGTAAAAAGGCTAATTCAACAATACAGCATGTTGTTTCCATTTGGGGACAAGCGGTGTGGACCAATAAACAGCATATCACAGTAAGTTCGCATAATGGCTGCAAGAAGGCCAGCCAGAGATAAGAAGAACTGAATTGCTTTTACACCTTTAAGGGTGTAAAAGCAATCAGTGAAAAAAAAAAAAATCTTTCATCACACCCACAAACAGTTGGTGACAGTATGTAAAAAAACAAAACAAAACAATAAATCATAAATAAAAAAAAAAAAAATAAAAATGTAAAAAAAAATATTTTTAAAAATTTTATGTATTTTTAATTAATAATTTATACTTTATGTTTTTAAATACCTTGAATACATTTTGGGGCCCAAGTTTTTAAATAAAAATTATTATTTGCAAAATTTTTTAAGAAAAAACACTTTTTTCAAAAAATTTTTGGGCTTTTTCATTTATATAGCAAAAAAAATAATCCCAGTGGGAAATAAATAACACCCCAAAAAAAAGCTTTTCTTTCTCAAAAAAATGCTAAAAAATTTTTTATGGGTACAGTGTTGCAGACCCCACAATTGTCATTCAAAGTGTGATAGCGTGAAAATGAAAAATTGGCCGGACAGGAAGGGGGTGAAGTGTCCCCGGAATTAAGTGGATAATAACCGCTTTCAGTATAGTTCAGAAAGA